ATCATGGTTAGATTACAAAACCACAAAGTTTAGATCTGGATTTGACTTTCTCAGATGTTGCAATCCAAGGTCCTTAAAGAGATAAAAGAGAAACAGGAAAGAGACAGGAAAGTTTGTATCTGGATTCAAACGCCCTCAGTGTATTTGAGCTTTCTTAGCCTGCATTCACTGCAGTGTTCTCTTCTGACTTGCACGTCTATTCTGAGAAAGGGTGCTGAAAGACTGATAAAATACTGGTAACTGAAATAATTAAGGAAATAATCAAGATGAAATAGTATTATGTGATGAGGTTCCCCTTATCCAGACAGAGTTAGCAAGTGATTGTACTGCCATCTCCCGGAGTTCTTATGTAATGCCACTCAAGGCTTTCTCAACAAACATTTGAACCGCTGTGCTGTCTTATACAACTGCTGTGCTCCCTCAGGCATCAGAGAGAAACCCAGCAATGACAAGGTAGCTGGTTTATTGGGAAGTGCTTAATCTTGGGAGGAAACTAAGCTAAGGGGAGATAATCTCTGCTGAGTGTGTAAGGGGTAGGGAAAACAGTTGGGGCCTATGACAGAGCTGAAATTGCAACCAAGAATATATTAGGGAGAACTTTCTAACTATGAGGATGGTAAGGTACTGAAACAAATCATCTGGAGTAGGGGCTGATAACCTATAGCCCATGGGCTGGATCCAGCCCATGATGGCCTGCACTGGTCTGTGTTTCATTAAGGGTGTGCTGATCCCCAGCCATTTGATTTGGTCTGGGTTTTGCTGATGCCATGCCAGTTGCCTCTGGGTGCTCCAGCTATCCTCATCATTGGAAGATTTTAAGAACCGTTTAGATGTAGGTGTCAAACTCAATCTGGGCCTCAGGCCAGATCTGCAGAGCCAACAGCAACTGCAACTAGGGTTGTGTTTGAGTGGCAGTGTGGATCTGGGGGCAGGCAGCAGTGTGGAGGCCTGGCTGGGCATCAGTGGAACGGTACATTTGGGTGTCAGTGAAAAGGTTTGGCTGGGTGGCAGCCCAGGTCCAGAGGGATGCAGTGACATGGGGCTGCCTTTGGGTGGCAGCATGAAGCCAAGGGGCTGCCACTGATGGCTATGTCCATAGGGGTCCAGGGACTCCAAATTCTGTGCCCTTCAATTTCCAGTAGCTGCTGGACTACTGGTGGGCCATATATTTGACATCCCTAGATTAGACAAACACTTGGCTGGGATAGTTTAGACAAGCCTTGAGAGTAGAGGGTTGGACTAGATGCCCCCCATGAAGCCCATTCCAGCTCTGTTTTTCAGGTCACAGCTCTAGCTCATAGAACTAGTTTGGGGTAAGTTCTTTTTTGATTATAGGCATCAAAATAAACAAAAGGTAAGTCATTGTTTTTTCTTGCAAGAGGAGCAAAATATTTCTTTAGCAAAAATGCATTAATTTGTAGGGGCTTGTATATGCTTTAAAAAGAAAACTGTGATATCATAAACTCTTATGTTTGGTATGGTAGAACTTTGAGTTTGTAATAAAATCCTCACAAGAAGAATACATCCCTTCAGATAAGCATTAGATCAAAAGAAGACATCTTGTGTAATTTTTTTTCCTATGCAGATTTCAGTTGCAAACATAATACTTTTTCAACTTGTTTAAAAAAAAAATCAAGGTTTTGTAGATTGAAAATCACTAAAAATCAAGGCTTTGTAGATTGAAAATTGTTTCAGAGAGCACTAACACTAGTGATCATGAATACCTCTATGGGGAATGCACATTTGCAGAAATCTGGTCCAGGCAGTGCAGGAGAACTCAGATAAAAGGACTATTTGTAAATCAAAAATACTGCCATCAAATCCTTTAGAAAGATTTCAGCTTGAATACCATATTTGATTTTCATTTAATCAGTATGCTACTTGAAATACAGGTTTCCCTCACTTTATGTGGGTTCTGTACGTGTGAATTCGTTCTTATGCAATAACCCTTTTTATACCAAAAATTCTTTATATGCGAGGTAAATTCACTCTCATGCCATTGGTGTGGTGGAAGCCCACAGTCAGCTGCTTTGTGTAGTGCATTGTGAGAGTGGCGCACACCAACATGTAGTCTCCTTTGTGGATCTGTGCTCTTTACCTGTTTGTGACACGTTTCTGTAGTTGCCATCCCCATTATGGTAACATTCACTACCACCCTGTGCTTGTGTGTACTGTCTGCTGTTGGGGGGTATGAGAATTGTCTCATAAAAGTAGCTGAAATGGGTCTGGGGGTCAGTACAGTTGAGGTCTTGGAACGTATCCCTATTTGTTACATTGTAAAGTGGGTTCCCTTTATGCAAATTCAAGTTAAGCACAGTTTTCCAGGAACACATATACAGCATAAACCAAGGGAAACCTGTAACAAACTGTTTCTGGGTGAGAATATAACTAGAACAAAACTTCAGAATATCTACAAAGAGAAAATTCAGAAACAATTTCCTTAGTGAACAAGCTATCAAGCAGGGAAACAGGGACATTAAAACCTGCCTCCTTGAGACATGCTATAATGACCTAGAACTCATTTACCTAAATCTACTCATTTGACTTAGCAATGTAAGGTGTTGCCACTTTACATTTAAAGCATCCATAATATTGATAGGGAAAAATAGTAGACTGTGGGTGTGTCTACACAATCATTTATGTGCTTTTGCTAATGCACATTGAATTTAGTAGATGCATTGAGGTACTATAAAAAGGCACATTAGCCTATTTTAATGCACATTAGCAAAAGCGCATGGTTTTTTTGTGATGCTTTAATGCACATTAAAATAGGTTAACGTGTATTGAAATGCACATGTAGACATGCCTGTGTTAGTAAATTTATACTTAAAAAGAGACAAAAGAAACAAAGAAAATATCTGCCATGGTGATACAGGCTCATACACAGCCAAACACCAGAGTATTAAATTAGTATGTACTTTGCTGACTAGTAATGAACTTACTCAGCACTGCTTAGGCCTCATCTAGAGTATGGTGTGCAGTTTTGGGCCCTACACTTCCAAAAAGATGTGGAGAAGTTAGAGGGGGATCCAGATGCAGGTGACAAACATGAGAAAGTGATTGGAAGGCAGTCATGAGAAGCTGAAAGAAATAGGAAGTCAGATTGCACAAAAGGTAGTATGATCTCAGTATTCACAGTATCTGAGGGGACACCTTTTTCCATTGCTGCAGGGAACAGGAGCTGTACTAACTGCTTGAAGTTGAAGCAAAGTAGGTTTACAGAAAGTAATGAAGCAGCAGAACAGACTGCCTAGGGAAGATGTGGATTTTCCATCATTAGTGGTTTTCAGGAGGTTGGATAAGCATTGGTCATGGATGATTGGGTGGCACTGTAGTTATACCTAGAGTGCTCTGTAAAGAGCAAAAGTTGGAAGCTCAGGAACCACCCTTACCTCATACAGATTTCTGGGAGATTATAAGAGCTCTGCAGTCTAAAGCAGGTGGACATTGGAGAGGACTATGCTCAGCAACAGGAGAATGAAGCAGAGCCCCACAACTAGAGTAGCTGCTTAATGTTTTTATAATAGCTGAGCTAAGCTTGTGGAAGGGATACAGAAATGGGAGTTCTGGCTCTCTGGTTGGGGGTCATACTTGCTGTCCCCAGGCTGCAGAACAGCATGTTTTGGCATCTTCCATGCTTCTGGACTTTTCTGGTTGCTACAAGGGGCTGGGATAGACCTTCCCTTTCCTACAGGTAGCAGTTTGTTTAGTTTTGTTTTCCCTTCCTCAGAAGTGTTATGTTCTGGGCTACAATTAGAGCTAGGGATTTTGACTGTTGGGACTAAAACCTGTAGAGCAGTGGTGGTCAGACTTTTTAGTCTCAAAGCACTCTTCCTTTAACTTAATTCACAAAAGTTATGGAGTGGTACCTTGAGTGATACCTCCTTGCTGAGGGGCAAAGAGAACAGCTAGGCAGGGAGAGCCTGAGCCTGCCCTTATCTGCTTTCTTCTCACTCTTCCTGCAGCACTCTTCAAAGGATCTTGCAGCATGCCAGGGTACCTAGGACCCTAGCTGAAAAACACTGCTACCGTCTTGCCCCGCTACTCAAGGTCAGACCAAATCACATTTGGGATCATGAAGGAATTGTGTCCCAGTCAGACTGTTACAGAATGGGGCTGTTTTTGGCCCTCCTCTGTAGCAAGGGACATGCCCTGCTTCCTTGGATTTCAAGTGCATTTTAACAGCTGTGTGACTGATGGCGCTGTCCCCCTGCTTTATCCTGCCTTGAGCAGAGGGCTGACCTAGACTATTTCCAGCAGGCTCTTCTAGTCCCACTTTTCTATGATAACAGGAAGCCAAGATAGATGAAAGAGCCCAATTATATGACTGGGCAGTTAACATTAGGGGCTATAGGCTGTACA